ATTTTTATTTATTTTTATATTTGAAAATAATAATTAATACTTACTAAATGTAATGTATCCGATACAATCTCCAACAGCAGCTTCAGAGTCTTGTAATTCTAATGGAGGTTCACGATGATTAAATAAGACTTGCGGAGCTGTGTGACTTGCACGCCTGCCTTCTTTTAATTCTTGTAAAAATAATTTTCCAATAACCATGTCATCTTCATCTTTAAATATTGTACTAAATACCACTGTTACTCTATCACTTTTGGCTTCAACATACCTTAATATAAAATTCATTTGATAATAGATATTACATTTTTGCTATATAGAAACCAAAATTTGTACATACATTGTTTCTTCATCTCTATATTGGATAACTGCCCTTTTTTGCAATTCTGTACCTGGGGAATTATAGTACTCTTCTTGAAAATCAAAATATTTTTCAAATACACTAGCAAAACAATGTCTTTTTAAAAGGGCAATTTTTTTAACTAATGATTCCCAGTCTTCTGGCAAATTTGCCAAATCTATCAACACAGAAACATTGTAGCCTAGAAATATTAATAATTTCATTAAGTACTGTAATCATATAATTTTCATACACATAACTATACATTAAACAAATTTCTGTGAAGTTTTTTACCATTTTCAGGAGCTATAAGATAAGGTTCGTATTCACGTACAAGTAATTCGTCAGCCCCATGCTCTTGTAATTGCTTATAAAATTTAAGTAAAATACTTATCTACAATGAAAAATGTAAATTACTAATAAATAAGATATATAATAAAGTATAATTACAAAGAAAATAGTTAATTATTCTTAATAAGAATTAATTAAATTATATGGAGATGAAAAATAAAAACAAAAATAAAATGTCATTAATATGTTATTTAAAGGATAATTAAAATGTACATATTGTTATTAGAAATTCTTTATCAAACATAAAATGTCGAAATATATCTTTGCACACTTACTCTAATTTTTGACTTGTCACCACTTAAGTTAGAAATATGAAACAATACACCATCAAAATCTGCTATAACAACATCTGTAGATTCTGGTTTATGACTATAAAAAGATATTACTTTATTATATTAAATAGTCAAATTAACAATGGAAAAGTAAAATTATAAATTAAATGAATGCTGTATTTACACACAAACTAATACAAGTTCATAGAATTTATGCAACATTATAAAATTTAACCCTTATGCACTGCTTAGGTTGATTTGGCTTAAAAATAAACCTTTGTTTTTAATTATATTTTTTATTACAGAAATGTATAAATTAATTTAGTACCACCAATTCATACATATGTTTATAGATAAATCTTTTTTCTTAATTGGATGTCAATTTTAAACAATTTTAATTCATAAAACATTGATGTAACTATTATTTGAATGGTGCATTAGGGTTAAGGATGTACACAATAAAAACTAATAGAACATATAGCATTTTAGATAAAAAGAAAAGTTACATATGATATAAATACATAATATTTACTTTAAAAATCATTTAGTATTATAAAGAAAGAAAATTGTAATACATGTGAACGTATAAAATAAAAAAGCTTTTTATACTATGTTGTAAGAAACATTCATAATATTTGAAATGGGTACCGCCCCTGCTTATAATCTTCGCCGATATCACAGAACACGCAAACATTTGCTTTAAAAAAGAAAAATACTTCACTTACCCTGACAAGGCATTTTTTATTTTGTTAGTTAATGTCTCTTCTAGTATCCTGTTATATATCTCTAACAAAATCATTCTTACGCCTTATATTAATTATATTACAGTGCAGTAATTATTAATTATCTATTGACAAATTTAACCATATACACGATTCTGACTAATTTCTAATCTTTTATACTGCACCCAATAATCGCTGATTCAACACAGCCAGGTCACTCACCGTCTGCAACATTACACCACTACCACAGAGGACTCTGTGATCAGAGTTTATTATATACCACTTTTTATTGATCATATTTGTATTTTTACATTTATTTAACTGTACTTTTACATTGATAATTCGTTATTTAAAGTAACTATTATTTAATTTTCTGTATATACTGCAATTAGAGCATATTATATTCTACTACCTTTCTTTCAAAACTAGGTCTAAGTAAATTACTAGAATTATAAGAATATATGAAGTTATTATTGTTATTATATAAATTACGTATACATAAACTAAAATAAGTTTAGATTAAAATAACGCAGAAACTTTTCATCATTAGGATGTAGATTGATTGTTATTGCTTTTGTAAATTTAACGACTCCTTATTGTCATATTTTTATCCCCATAGAACAGAGGTGTTGAACTGCTAGTGACATACTCCCCTCATACTAGTGACTCACGATCAGCATTCTTCCACTACGTCAACAATTTGAATTTAACCATTTTCTTCGATACAGAACAAACATGAATGGATTCATTTGCAACAAATGTTTCGCTACAGCTTACAGAGGAAAAAAACCATTTTGTTTAACGCAATGCGGCCACATATATTGTCAGGGCTGTATTCAACAAGGTGATGAACAGTGAAAGTTAACACTAAACGTACCGCGACCAGTCAAATGACCGGTTTTTAAATTCGATTACAAAGTTGACGTTTTCTTTTGTTCATTGATCCTTGTATTAATTCCTATATTGTCTGATTAATCAGTTTAACAATTTTTATGTTTCCCTTTGTTTCTGTTTACATTAAGAAAAATTTATTTCTTAATTTGTGTACTTTTATTTTATAACCAGTTATTTGACTGGTTACAGTAGGAATAAATATATATATAGTGTCAGTGCATTTAGTGTTAAAGAAGGACAATAATTTCTCGAGTAAAATACTGTCCCTAGAAAAGAATATATTTGATCAATCGGGTTAAATAAAATAATTAAAAGTAGCAAAAATTTATTATATCAATATTTAAAAAATATAATCATTCACAATATAGCATCAAAACAATGCCCTCAGTGCCAAAAAGTGGATAATTTTTCTGTGGAACTACAACAACCTTCCTTGTCCCAAGTGGAAAATTTTTTTGTACCGCTTAAGGAATCATTGGAATCATTCTACACAATTTATGGTTTTCAAAATAATCAAATGAAAATTATTGTACAACGGTTTCTTGAAATTGTTAGTTCCTAACATTTCTATATATATTATATGTAAAGACATACAGCTAAACTTATGATTTCATTTAAGGATAAAAAATATGAATTACTGAAATCTCATTACTATAATCTTAGTCAGAATATGAAATTATTTAGAGAAAAGTATAACAAGCTAAAACTGATGAATATAGAACTACAGAAGAAACTCATGTCTTATGAAATACATAATAGAACATTAAATTCTTCAAATGTTTTCTCTACACCAATAAATTCTTTAAATAAAAAATCCAAAACAAGGTACATAGTTTTTTAATGATTTAAAAAAAATATAAATGCATATTTTTAATCTTCCAATATTATTTATATACTTATAGGCATACTGCAAGTTCATACATTTTATCTTGTGGAACTAATATGACATCGACTTGTGTAATGCTTGATGGTTTTCGTATACCAGATTCCCAGTCTGCTAAGTTATACCATTCTCGTGAAATTTCAGATACTAATGCTTCGTATACATTTAGACACTAAATAAAACTATATTCCATAAAAAATGCTATCAACTTTAGTATCTAAATTTTTGTAAACACTACATATTTTTTAAGAAAAGCTATTAAAAGCTAAAGCATACCATTAAGTAGTTCTTTGTAATCAAATTTTATATCAACCGTTATTTATAATTAATGTAACAAACAAAATCGGGTTAAATATAACATTAATGCCTGAATGAAAATGATGTAGAAAGATCGGTTGCAATTGCAGACAAATGATATCGGACTTCGAATCCTTTTGACATTTTTGATTCCTTACATCAGAGATGTCAAACTTACTCCCCTCACGCTAGTAATTTGGAAACAGCGTTCCCCCACTACCTCTACTCAAGCCTACCCGAGACTGCGATGTGAGCAGTTCTATGTAGTGTTCAAACAACAGCTAAAAGTAGTTATGGAACGGGTAACTTTTCGTAAGAGTAGTGTCACTAGAAACCCGCGGGCGGACTCATCGAATCACTTGAATATTGCGAAGTCAATGATGGAATCGTGAATATTCATATAAACCTACCACAATGTTAATCTAAAAGAAACGATATTTGCGCTATCGTCGGACAGAAAAAGAATTAAAAGGAGCGCTTAATTAATGTTAGTCGTCGCGGCGCGAAATCTATTTTACATATGCTCTTTTAATTCTCATTTACAGGTTATTTTATTTTTTTTATAAGAAATGTTAACATAACAATTAATTTTTAAAATATGGAAAATACATCAAAGTAATAAGAATGCGCTAATTCAGAATGTCGAAAATAATTAAAAAATTTGTTAGTAATTAATATTTTGTTTGTAATTAATATTTTTCATTTTCGTAACGTAAACAATTAACAGATTATGGTGTCATTTATGATACATTCTGTTAACATACCGAATTAATTAATGCAGAATTAACTTAAAAATGTTCTATGGATACTCTTCCTTATTTATATTGTAATTTACGAAAGACTATTTTGTACGCCTTCGAGTACAATTGTGTACATCATATACTATAAGCGTTTAATATCTAAATAGTACGCAATGAAAATAAAAGTTCAAAAATTTAATTATACGAACATTTTGAAAATTATACGAACATTTTGAAAATGAATGCTCAATTTTTTCAATTTCAGAAGCATTCATAGCATGTGTCATTATTTTAGAACACATACCCGAAACCATAGAATATATTTACACAATTATGTATGTTATGCGTATTTATTAATTTGTGAATAAAAACAACTGGCCTTTTTCTTACAAATATTACTAAAATATAATGGTGTCAAGAAGATCATATTATTTTCCATTTAATTCTCATTAACTATAAATTATTATTTTTGATTTTTTTGTGCCAACATTTTTATAGTAACAGTAAATTGTTAATTTAAAACAAAGTAAAGAGATAGAATGTTGTTCTTTTACTGCATAAATAAGTAATATATATGTTTATATTTATTTATAATTACCAATTCATAAATACTCGATGCTTCATATTTACATTACTTTCATAATCAATATCTGAAAATACGCACATGTGTTGGTTCTATTCAAACTTTCTTTGAATGGAAATCCTTTGAAATATATTTTCGTTTTCCCAACATGCTTACATTTATTCATTGTAGCAACAACTGCAGACAGAACAATAACGCATTGACAAAAGAAGTCATGAACAGAAGAAGAGTCCACAATAATGCATGTCGTTTTCATTTAGACACTTATTTATAAACGAGGTGATATGACATGCGCCATGGAAAATAGGACATAGCAATGGCTTAAAGAAGAAGAAAAGAGCAACACTCACATAACTATCTTTGGTTATTCTGATTCTCGGTGTATTTTACTATGATACTCTTCGTGTACACGAAAGTTGATATCCTCTGTACTAATGTAATATTTTTAATTATTTACGGTACGTGTAAATTATACGAATTCAAATGTGTTTGAAATTGCAATTCAAATGTCACCAAAGCAACAGAGAACCCGTTCTCGATTCAAGGTAATGTTTCATTTTATGCTATGCATATTACGATAAACATTAATATTTCATTTGTGATAATATGCGTTACATGAAATATATTTATTAATAAAGAAAATCGTGATTTACTTATGTATTTTAAGTATTGACAAAAGTAGGTTTCATCTTATTTCAAAAACTTTATAGAAAATCTAACATATATTACTTATTTTTAATTTTTTATTTCATTACAATGTTTTTCCTTATTTTTTATATTTGTTTGCTTACATTTAAAATCTTGCTATGATTGTGTGTTATAAAAAAATTCTTACATAAAAATTTTGTGATTAAAGTAATATTGAATATTGTGTATTTATATTATGAGACTATGTAATTTTTAATAGGTGATAACTCCATTTCGATCACTGGTTCTCTGTGGCGAAAGTAGACAAGAAATGGAAGATTGGCTGAACGCGTTAAGGACAGTAACAGAGAATCGTGCTCAAGCAGATTCTGGAATTGCAGAAATGCTTAGTGGTAATCATCAATGGTATGCAACAAGCCATGCGAGACCAACGTATTGTAATGTTTGCAGAGATACTCTTTATGGTATGAAAACATATTTTAATGTTTGCAAGCATACTTTTATTAAATAATTAAACAACTTAAGGAAATCTGCCAAAATATTAAAACAAAATGTATTTATAATTAAAATTTGTATTGTTATTATTTAACATCGTAACTGTGAATGATAAAAGTGAATACTATTGCTTCTACAGATTTAATTTTCTATGTTATCGATATTTATTAAACGTTAAAAATGAAATGTATAAATTATATAACAATTGTCTATTGAAGTAAATTAGTAATTAAAAATATTTATATATTGTAGGTGTTACTTCTCATGGATTAAGTTGTGAAATATGTAAATATAAAGTTCATAAGCAATGTAGCATAAAAGCAATAAATAATTGCAAATGGACTACATTGGCATCTATTGGTAAGGACATTATTGAGGACCAAGATGGGGTATGTATAATAGTTTTGTATGAGAAAAATAAATTTCCTTTCATAAATATAGAATTATAATAATGTACAAGTTTTGTTCATCATAGAATAATAGAATTTCTTTATTTACTAATTGTCCTTATTTTTCAGATAATATATAATAAATAAATAAATAAATAAATAAATAAATTTATACATTTTCTGAGAAAATAATGACAATTAAAAATAATTTTAATAATTAAAATTTTCTTTTTGTTTAGAACATTACTATGCCACATCAATGGATGGAGGGCAATTTACCAGTATCCTCAAAATGTTCTCTGTGTGAAAAAACTTGTGGCTCTGTACTCAGGTATAAAGTTGTTTTATAAAAAATGTCTCAATTTAAGGTTGAAAACTTTTATTAATTACCACGTTTGTGACCACACGTCACATATGTGTGACACAGCGATTCGTTTAGAGAGCCCAGTGTCACATATGTATGATGCTGTTAATTACTGTTTACTATAATGATATTAACATACGTCTGGTGTATGGTGTATTCTATTATTGCTTTGATTATATCAAAATATAACACATATATGACATTTATGTAAAATGCTTTAGTTGGTTTATTTACTATGTTTTAAATCTATAAACATTATATGAATAATGTATTACATAAAATAATTGCAAGAAAGACACACTCCACAGTAAGAGTATTTTAAATTTGACTGTGGACGCGAATGTGTTAAAATTTTTATTGATTTGAGTTTGTTATTCCATTAGACTTCAAGATTGGAGATGTTTATGGTGTAGAGCCACAGTACACACAGCATGCCGACCTGCCATAAGCGTTAAATGTCCATTAGGACCAGCTAAATTGAGTGTAGTTCCTCCTACAGCATTGCATAGTATAGGTAAATTTGATTTCTTAAACGTTTATATACTCGTATATTTTTGTTTTTCCTTTTAAAATTAGATATTTTCCTAAATTACTATTTACAGTAGAATATCATTTATTCAATATTTACTGAGTGACAATGAATGATGAGGACTGATTCTCGTCCACTGATATTCCTAATTCTTCTATAAGTTTAATTATTTAATCAAATTGATATTTTATTTGACAAAATAAAGTTTTGAAAAATAAAATGTATAATATTATCCAAAAGAATATGTTTTTGATGTACTTATTTTACATATGTATGATCGAGTGCATTTAAAATTAGCGGTACACCATACATATTAATATTTCATAGGTAGTGATGAAGCTTGGGAAGCTATTAGACCTACTGGGTGTAGTCCACTCTTAGTATTTGTAAATAGTAAATCTGGTGACAATCAAGGTGTTAAATTTCTTAGAAGGTTTAAACAATTATTAAACCCTGCACAAGTATTTGATCTTATTAAAGGAGGACCAGGACCAGGGTAAGTTTCTTCATATTACTTTATATGCAAATTTTTAATGTATTATTAATATATTTTTGAAAGGAAATTTTCGAATCTGTTATAAACAGGTTGAGATTATTTCGTCACTTTGATCCATTTCGCATTTTGGTATGCAGCGGCGATGGATCTGTTGGTTGGGTTCTTTCTGAGATTGACCGTTTAGGAATGCATGTAAGTAAAAGCAGTGAATTAGAAGAATTCCTTTGTTTTGTATATATTAACTAATTGCATGAATTTGAATTTTTATTACATGATATACATTTATGTATTTATCTTACATATGATTATTTTAAATAAAAACTGTAATGCTCTTTAGATTTAACATTGAATCACAGTTGTATGCACCTATGAATGCATGATTATAGATTACAGTTGTAAACATATTTAAAAATTACATAATTATATACCTCGAAGAATATAAATAAGATGAATAAAAAATAAAGTAATTATTAATTTTTTATTATCTGCATGTTTGTATTCTGTTATTATTGTTTAGAATGTCTTAATATTTGCTGTATTATATATATTTAAATATTTAAACAAAATGTATTTTCTTAACTCTTCTTTGAAAATTAAATTACTTTT